ATTTTATTTTATTTTATTTTATTTTATTTTATTTTATTTTATTTTATTTTATTTTATTTTATTTTATTTTATTTTATTTTATTTTATTTTATTTTTTGTGGTCCCCAAAGCCGCCGCTCGCGGTCCCAGAAAGCATCCCGGAGCCTCCCCGGTGAAAAGCGTTGACGGACGAGCCCCCGCCCCGAGCGGCCGCAACCGGGCTCTAGAGCCGCTTTCCCTGCTGCCTCCCAGCAACTGAGCGTGGAATTGAAATGTTCCGCCCACAGCTAGGAGATCCCGGGAAAAGCCCATTCCTCAGGGAAAAAATCCGCGATTTCAACGAAATTCTAGGTGTATAATTCCGCAGGGAAGGACAGATAGCGGCTCCCTGTATGCCTCTTCTCCCTATGGCTCTTCCCGGGGCCCCGGCCGCTGTCACTGCACCGGGCTGCGGGATTTACTCCTGCGGGAGTGAAAATCTGGAATCGGGACGAGCCGCATCCATGCGCAGTCCTACTGCTCTCGCTGTGCCCAGCCCCTCGAGCCGGGGTGGAGGGGAGGTCTTAATGCACAGAGAGCGGGTGGGCCGCATTTCCAGCCGATTTCCGCCCGCAATCCCCAGATTCTGGGATTTTGGCGTCCCCAGGATAGGGCGCAGAAAAAGACAGGGAGACAGGGGGGGGAGAGGGGAAAGAAAAACATAGAAAAACAAAACAAACAAAATAATAAATATTCCGATGTTCCTCAGACCTACCTCCCTCAAAAAAAAAAAAAAAAAAATCCTTCTTGGTTCCATCCAGAAAGCGAAACAAACAAACTCCGCGAGCAGGATATAAATCTGGCGGAGACGAAGGGTATCGACTCGCACGCCCAACTTTTCTCCCTCCTGATATATGAACAACTCCCCAGCTTTAAAGATTACAGTAATCACGGGAGGACAGTGTAAATCGAATCCGATAGTAATAACTTTTGAGGGAAGGTCAGGCTCAAGTGAAATGTTTCCAAGCAACAGGCGTTTTGCTGGCAAAATACAATCAAAGTGTATTGATGAGAGATTCTTCCCTGCCAGACAGTCAGCACTTTCTACTAACAGCTTTATGGGTGAAGAAAAATAATAAGAAAGGGGAAGGGAAAAAAAAAAAAAA